AAAACCACTTTCTACATACTGCCAGATCTGACTTCTAAAAGTTTGTTTTGTTAAACAAATTTCTATCTATGTTCATACTTTTTTCTTCTATTATCTTTATCCAGTTTTAGAATTCATTAATTTATCTTCCAAGATACTTCTTAGAAGTTGTCAAATTTATTTCAAAATAGATTTTTGAAATATGCTTTCTATACCCTTTTAAATTCTGTAAAATCTGTGCTAATGTCTCCTAGATCTTGATATTGTAATTTCAAAAACGTCTCTAATTGATATTGTGTAGCAGGAAGAAAAGGTCTAAAGTTGCAGGGGAAGTGGGAGGTGTAGGGGAAAGGAAAGAAGGGGAAAGAAAAAATATGAGAAAAGGAAAAAAATGGAAACAAAGTCTTTGCGGATAGGGAAGAGTGGAGGGGGTGAAGGGAGGACAAGGGAAGGGGGAGAAAAAAAAGAACCAAGATACTCATGTAATGGCACAAGATCCTAATGATGAATGTAACTGTATTTTATACTGAAAATGTACCAATAAACTTAATGGGAAAAATATAAAAAATTTAAAAAGAAAGGAAGGAGAAACTATCAGCTCTTGGAAGAAGTATTTTTCTACTGCACACATAAAAAATGAGTTTTCCCTAGTGCCTCGCAAAAGACTCCAGCTCATTTTACAACATTGATTTCATAATTCAGTCTTTCTACAGAGTCATTTATTATAATAGATGTTAGTAAACACATAGTCTTGATGAAAGAGAAGTGAATTTGTCCCTACAATGAGGGTCATTCTATGAAGAGAAGAATGAGGAAAACTTCTTAATTATTTAAAGCCCATCTTCTAAGGTGAGTGTAGCATATGACTTAAACACTGTGGATGTGTGATCCATTTACTGCTTGTTTATTACACCAAACTGAATTCTTTCTCTATGCTGTGTACCATGTAATAGAAAATATAAGTGGCAATTGTTAAGTCAACACTTGGTATTCTGTTTATTGATTCCATCAGTTTTCATATGACTGTATGCTGTCATTTATAACCTCAATTGATGAGATTCAATCCTACCAGGAGTCTTTATAAAGCAAATAATCATTTAAAAAGGATATAAAGAAGCAGAAATTAGAAAGTTGCAAATCTGTTTCATGAACCTAGCAATATAATACCGTTCTTTGACATTGTTTTCATGTTCTTGTTTTAAATTTGTATTTATTTTCCTTCAGAGTTGACTGTTTACTCAAGGTAAATATCTTCTAGCAAAGAGCTTGTTTTATAAAAATAGAGTTACTAAAGTCTCAAACCAAGAGCAGAATCTTAACCTTTATTTTTCCTTTATGTTCTGTATTTAAAACATCACTGGATCTTATGTGCTAATAATGCCTGTCTTTTAATCTGACCACCAATCATCTGATGTTGTTACCCATTTTCCCTTAATCTACATCCGAGAAACAGCTTCCTAACAGTGCTCTTGACTCAGATCCTCCCGTACAGCTCACCTTAACAAGTCACAAGAACTTTCTGAAAACATAGAGCAGATCTTAGCCCTTCATGCTTCGACTCTTGAAATAGAATTGATTCCAAATCCCTTTGTTTACTTAGAAAAAGTCATCCTTATAGTTCATACTTACTTTTCTGGTTTTCTTCAACACCTTTATCTCTCTCTCTCTCTCTCTCTCTCTCTCTCTCTCTCTCTCTCTCTCTCTCCTCCCCATCCTTCCCTTCTTCCTTGCCTCCCTCCTTTCTTCATTCCCTCTCTCTCTCTCACTCTGCTCTGCCATCCTCCATCTTTGGATACTTGCTTAAAGTATACATTTTAAATTTTTTTTCATTTACTATATCTATCTGAGAAAGAGCCAAATTCATTTCCTATCTTCCCCCCCAAAATTCCTGTATTCAAAATTCAGAATTAATCTCTCTTACATACCACATGCCCAATGTAATTACTACATCTATTATAGCATCAGAGCTCTGTAAGATCATGAACTGCAGAAAGATTTTAAAAATTCATCTTGCTAATTTTCTTTTTTTAATTCTCAAACTCAGCATAGAATTCAATGTATCCTAAACAGAGAACAGTGGAAACAATTTTGACTGAATCAACTGACCACACAATATCATGATGTTTTTCTGGCCTCTTTCAGGAACACAGAATACCTGTCAACATGGGCTATGCTGTGGCCCCTCATCACTCAGGGGTCTACCCTGTTCATATTCAGCTGTATGCAGCTTGGAAGAAGGTCTGGGGTATTCAGGTCACCAGCACTGAAGAATATCCACATTTAAAACCCGCACGGTACAGAAAGGGCTTCATCCACAATAGCATCATGGTGAGGACTGTTGCTGTGTTTGGCTCTTAGTATCTTCATGTGGAATGACTTCAGATTGCCATTATTTATAGGGATGCAATGTCAAACCTCTTCTGCAAGAGTATCAGAAATTCCCAACACACCACCATTGTGACTGCTCACACATTAACATGTCATTTGGCTATAGCCTTGCCTCTGAAGCTATGGAATGACTTAACAAGTCTAACACAAGCTGGAAATACTGAGAATGAATTTTGCATAGCTTATCTACTGAAGTTTCAGGACTGAAATTTTGTCCAGGGATCCTACATCCTTCCTCTGAGGCATTTCTCAGTACTGTTTGTTTCACTGGTTTTACAGAGAATTGAAGGCAGAATGTGGTTCCACGGATCAAGAAAGCACCTTTCAAATTGCTGCACTATCAACAGACAAAATAGAACAAATAGATTCTGAGAGCTAAATCTATCCACTCAGTTTATTTTGACTTAAAAGACTTAAAATGTTTACGATACTGATACTGATCTTTTTTTTTTTTTTT